CCAAAGTTTCAAAGCTCACTGGTGCTCCCCTCTTCTTCTTCCCCTCAGCTTGTAACATTCTTGTAAACAATAAGGCAACTTGGAGCTATGCATTCCTCTCCCGTGGACGCCCCTTCCCTAATATGGTTTCTTTCTGTCTCCAAAGTCCTTTCAGTAAGGGCCTGAAGGAGGGGGGTATAGGGAGGGAATGGGAGATATCTGTAATACTATCAAAATAATATGTATGTTTATTATATATAAATATTTATTCAAAGAACAGTATTGACTCTCATAAAAGAAGGCAATCTGTCCTGTTTTTAAATATATATGTATTTAAATATATATGTATTTTAAAACAGGATATACATATATATTTAAAAACAGGACAGATTGCCTTCTTTTATGAGAGTCAATACTGTTCTTTAAATAAATATTTACTAAGCATGGGCCAAATGCTGGGAAGTAAACAAAGGTGAACCTGAGAGGGGACACAGAATTGAACCAGGTAAACTGCTTGGGCTCCTACTCCTAAACACTGTGATATCCTCCAGAAAGCATTGAAATAATATACAAATGAGTGATCCTCTCCTCATATGTGAAAAGAGACCCAAGCTGATCCTTGCACCAAATGCAAACATGGAAAATAATTACTGGCAGATAAAATCAGTCAATTCAGTCTGCCAGATTTCAGTAGGTGAAATGATATGAAAGCCTATTCTCTATTGCACTGAGTATATGGTGCTCTGTTATGGTGCTCTGTTCTCTAGTGAACTGAGTATACAATCTTTCTCAGAAAATTACAAGCCTATATATATATATATATATATATATATATATATATATATCTCCATATATCCATATATATATATATATATATATATATATATATATCCACCACATGACTCAGCAATTCCACTTCTGGGTATTTATCTGAAGAAATTCAAAACACTAATTTGAAAAGAGATATCCACCACTGTTTCATCACAGCATTATTTACAATAGCCAAGATATGGAGGCAAACTAAGTGACCATCAATAGATGAATAAATGAAGATGTGGTGCATATATACAATGGACTATTTATTACTCAGCCATTAAGAAGAATGAAATCTTGCCTTTTGTGAGGTTTGGACTCTTATTTTACAGAAGCCAGTGATACCTTGCCTATTATAAAGAGTAAGCCAAACAAGACAAGGCTGAATAAAGGGAGGAATAGTGTTCTTGGAAAAAGGGCACAATGACACAAAGGTTAGGATGATGTTCAAGAAACTGAGAAACCAATGTATTTGGTACATAAAGTAGAAGGAACAGAGAAGTGAGATATCGGGTTTGAAGTGTAAATTGAGTGATAACTATAAACTATTAAAACCACATCGAGGACTTCATATTTTATTTGAAGAATATTAGAGAGACATTAAAGGGATCCATGAAGTGGAATGCCAGAATCAAATGCACTCTTTAGGAAGCTCCCCTAGCTGTAATATGGTTGATAGATTTTGGAAGGTCAAGACTGTATGAGGGAGGGAGGTGTGGAGACTGTTTAAGCTGGCCTCAGGTGACAGCAATAGAGATGGAGAAGTGTCAACAGATGGGGGAGTTCAAGTTAAAGTCTTCAGAACTGAGCAACACAGAATCTAGCTACTCTAAAGAGACATAAGACACAGTAAGATTCTGTCCCTTTTACCACAGCAGACCCGTTCCAGAGACAGAATCAACAATATGAACTAGCATCGGCCATAATACAGGTTCTATATCCAGTAGGGTTTTTTTTAGTTTCAAATAATATAAGCTAACCCTGGCAAGTTTTAAAAGAAAATAATTCATTAAAGAATACTAGGTCACTCACAGAAATTTCCTGAAGAGCCAGAGAGGCATAATAAAGATTTCTGAGCCAGGAATCATGGTGACATCACATCATATGCTGCTTCAATTGAAATTATCACTGTCTCCCCAGCTAGCCTGAGGCCTCACAGCTACCCTCTCCACATGGCCATGGCCATCGGGTATAGGCTCTGTTGCTTCAAAAAATCAGATATAACTGCCACCATTCTCACCACAGTGTGTTTTTCCCCAGGTATCTTTTTATTTGTAGCACTAACTTCCAATTTGAAGTTCGGTGACAGTACTTTCCCTGCCTGCAAGCACTAAATACACATATCCAGACCCTGACTATAAGGAAAGGCAAAAAAGCAATTTTTTGACTTCTATACTGATAGGCAATGATTTATAAGGTAGTAAATTTCTCAAATACAGAAGAATGTCCAAAGGTGGCCTAAAAGAATAACAGATGTTCACTTAGTGAGGTGTTTTTCTAGTAATAATTAGGGCTAAAGTCTTAATTAGTCTGCATAAAAGCAAGGAAATCATAGGGTCAGAAACCTATAATGATCACAGGTAAGTGGACTTACTTCAAAGCAATCAAGAAACTAGGAAGGGATAATCAATATCAAGACACAAATCCACTCACAATCTTCAAAATACAGGGTATGCCTTTATTTTTATAAATGCATTCTTCAAACTATTTTAAAAATAACAGGAACTGACTCTCAAAAGCAATCCTGCAGTGAATCTTCTTCTTTTTAAAAAAATATATTTTATTGATTTTTTACAGATAGGAAGAGAGAGGGATAGAGAGTTAAAACATCGATGAGAGAGAATCATTGATCAGCTGCCTCTTGCACACCCCCTACTGGGAATGTGACCACAACCCAGGTACATGCCCTTGACCGGAATCGAACCCGGGACCTTTCAGTCCGCAGGCAGACGCTCTACCACTGAACCAAACCGGTTTTGGCCTGCAGTGAATCTTCATATAAAGCATTATTCCTTAATGTGTTTCATAAGCCCTGGTTGACTATATTAGTTTGCTCAAAGTAGGACACAAGTAGTAAACAGAAAGAGATACTGGTTATTAATGATGCAAGGAATATCTGGTGAAGGATAATGTATCTGTGGTTGAAACCTATGACCTGGTTACATTAGAAGTCATATGAGGCCCCTCTGGCAAAGTGCAGGGGGTTACAGAGGGCTAAGGAAATCTAATTTTTGAAAAAGGGAACAAGGTTATGGAAACTGAGAAGGGACAAATTAACTCCTAATTTACTGAACTATTCAACAAGGAGGTCATGTAAACATTCCTGAACCCTACTCATGAAAACAATACTAGGCTAAGAAGGCACAAATAGGTAGACAATTAACACAATCCTTACCCTTAAGAAACACACAGTCCAGTGTGGGAGTCTGATCTGCAGACAAAAATAATAAATGAAGAAAGACCAAATAGCAATGAAAAGAGATCAAAGAGGTATTCTGGGTTAAGAAGGAGAAAGCAATTAATTCTGGAATAAATTGAGTAAACAAGAAGGAGAAGGTGGCATCTGAGCTGGGTTATAAATATTGCTATGGCCTGAATATTTGTGTCCTCCCAAAATTCATAAGTAGATTTCTAGTTTTGGAGGTGATGGTATTAGGAAGTGGAACCTTGGGGAGGTGATTAGGTCATAAGGTGGAGTCCTTATGAATGGGATTAGAGCTTATATAAGAGGCAGGAAAAAGCTCCCTCACCAGCTTCTGCCACCCGAGGACACACTTACCTAATCCCATTTAGGACCTACAAAACATGCCCTCATGTGACAACAAATCTGCTAGCGCCTTGATCTTGAACTTCCTATCCTCCAGAACCGGGAGAAATATTTTATATTTGCTGTTTATAAGCCATCCCGTGTATGATTCCCCCCATCCTCACCACAGAGCACAAAAGACTAAGACAAACAGAAACCCTAAGAACAGAAGGCTAATGGCTAAGGAGACTAAGGATAGGCTTAACACCTTTTGAAGAGAGAGACTGATTCCAGTCACAGGCCCTCAGATGCTCTATTAGAGTTATATTTTCCAAATGATGGGCAATATTCCCCTACAGAAAACCTTTTTGTTTCTTGGGTTTAAATAAACAAGATTATCCACTTTCCACCAGGACTGGCATAAAGGAATAAATGGAAGCCCAAAGAGGAAAATCTGATCACCAACAGGTTTTCAGCCAGTAATAGTTGTATGGCCTTGGGCAATATACTACCGTGTTTCCCCAAAAATAAGACCTAGTGCATAGAAAGATAAGACATCCCCTGAAAATAAGACCTAGCGCATCTTTGGGAGCAAAAATTAATATAAGACACTGTCTTATTTTCGGGTAAACAGGGTAGCACTTTCTGAGTGAGCACTATTCAACACATACATCATGGGAGCAAGGTACAAAGAGAGCCACCTCTGTAGTTTACATCTTCTACCAAACACATAAAAAAGATAAAGAAACGTGTGGAATTAAGTTTATGAATTTATTTGTCTTAAAATATCACTTCAATAGGTAATTGATGAAAGTTTTAAAAATCCAGTGAGCCTTTTATTTACCTCAGGGTACATTTCAATTCAATCTAGCCATATTTCAAGGTTCTTTTTTATAAACATATTTTTCCTAAATATATTTTTATGGATTACAGAGAGGAAGAGATAGAAACATCAATGATGAGATAAAACCATTGGTCCGATGTCTCTTTAATGTCCCATTCTGGAGATTCAGTTTGAAACCCAGGAATCTGCCTTTGACCAGGAATCAAACCCGAGACTCTTGGTTCCTCACTGAACAAACCCATCAGGTTCTCTTTAGCCACATGTGGTTGGTGGGTATACCTTGGTTTCCTTATCTGTGAAATGAGGATAAAATTGCCTAGGTCATTGGAAGGAACAGGAGATTTCTATTCCTGGGAAACCACTGCATCCTACCCTGTCCTTGGGAAATCCCCAATTAATCTTGTTTCCAAGGTCTTTTCCCTCGGGGCTCCGCCCCTTCAAGTCTCCGCCCCTTTCCAAGCCTCTTAAGGCCCAGGGAGGAAGCAGCCTGGCCATAAATGCAGCGGGCTTCAAGGCAGCAAAGTCTTCAACCACTGTGTGGCTGGCTCCTGTCTTTCGCACCCTTCACCTCCTTGGCTCTGAATCCCCTACTCGGGGCTTGGGCAGTGTGTCTGCAGCGCTGCTGAAGGGGCCAAGGCTTGGTTGTGAGTGAAGGCAAGAAGTCAGCGCTATCCTTGTGAGCTGCGCCTGGAAACATGGATGTGGGAGAAGTGCTCAGCTACCAGCCCAACAGGGGCACCAAACGCCCCTGGGATGAGGAAGAGCTGAAAAGGCCCAAGAAACTAGCTGGTGCTGGAGGGCTCTACCGCTTTCGGGAAGAGGGAATGACGGCGGGAAAAGCAGCAGATGATGACCAGAAGATGCTGCTTCAGATTGTGGACAACGAAGGTGAGGGGAAAGAGGAAGAGGAGGAACCACTGGATGCCAGCTCCGTGAAGAGAATGATCCTGACCTTTGAGAAGAGATCCTACAGGAACCAAGAGCTGAGGGTCAAGTTTCCAGACCAGCCCGAGAAGTTCATGGAATCCGAGCTGGACCTTTATGACATCCTCCAGGAGATGCACGTGGTGGCCACCAGGCCGGACCTGTACCCGCTCCTGGTGGAGCTGAACGCCGTCCCATCTCTCCTGGGGCTGATGAGACACGACAACACAGACGTGGCCATCACCGTGGTGCACCTGCTGGAGGAGCTGACAGATGTGGACGCGGTCCACGAGGGTGAGGAGTGGGGAGCGGAGGTGCTGGTCCAGGCGCTGGCGGACGGGCATGTGGTGGCGCTGCTGGTGCACCACCTGGAGCGCCTGCGGGAGGCGGTGGCGGAGGAGGCGCAGGGCGTGCACGACTCCCTGGCCCTGGTGGAGAACATGGCAGAGTTCCGGCCCCAGATGTGTGCGGAGGCCGCCCAGCAGGGCCTCCTGCACTGGCTGCTGAACAGGCTGAAGGCCAAGATGCCCTTCGACGCCAACAAGCTGTACTGCAGCGAGGTGCTGGCCATCCTGCTGCAGGACAGCGATGCCAACAGGGCCTTGCTGGGGAAGCTGGGCGGGATGGATGTGCTCTTGCGGCAGTTATCCGTGTTCAAGAGAAGGGATCCCGGCACCGCGGAGGAGCGGGAGATGATGGAGAACCTGTTTGACTCGCTCTGCTCCTGCCTGCTGCTCAGTGCCAACCGCGAGCGCTTCCTGCAGGGCGAGGGCGTTCAGCTGATGAATCTCATGCTCAGGGCCAAGCGGGTGTCGAGGAGCAGCGCCCTCAAGGTGCTGGACCACGCCATGCTCGGGCCCGAGGGCACAGGCAGTTGTGATATGTTTGTGGACATCCTGGGCTTAAGGACCCTCTTTCCCCTCTTCATGAAATCTCCCAGGAAGATCAAGAAGGCGGGGAGCACCGAGAAGGAGCACGAAGAGCACGTCTGCTCCATCCTGGCTTCCCTCCTGCGCAACCTGACAGGCCAGCGGCGAGCCCGGCTGCTGGGGAAATTCGCCGAAAACGACAGCGAGAAGGTGGACAGACTGATGGAGCTGCATTTCAAATATCTGGATGCCGTGCAAGAGGCCGACAAGAAGATGGACGCGGGGAAGGACTACGGGGTCCTGCGAGGGGAGGTCCTGGACAGCGACGCTGAGGAGGAGCTCTCCCTGCGGCGCCTGGACGCGGGGCTCTTCGTCCTGCAGCACATCTGCTACGTCATGGCGGAGATCTGCAACGCCGAGGCCCCCCAGATTCGGCAGAGGGTTCACCAGACCTTAAACATGAGAGGGAGCTCCATCGACGTGGTGAGGGACATCGTCAAGGAGTACGCGGAGAGCATCGGGGATGGCAGCAGCCAAGAGTTCAAGGAGAGCGAGCAGCAGCGCATCCTGGGCCTGCTGGTCACCCTCTAGAGCCCGCCCCGGGCGGCACCTCACTCTCAGGGCCTTCTGCCAGGGCCTGCCTGGCAGGTTGAACCTGGCTGAGGGAGGGAGGTGGGAACTGGGAAAAGAAAGAAAGACAGAAGAGCGGGGTCGGGAGGACTACAAGTCATCGAAGAACTGTAGCAAGTTTATTCACTGCGCAATGCTTCTTATACACAAGGCACTGAATAGGAGGTCTGTCAAGAGGAGTGTATTTCTTTGTTCCTCTTAATCTCTAAAGGAGAAATAGAGCCGAAGGACAGATTCTTAGTACAATAACTCTTCAGTAGGTAAATATGGACTTCTTGGCAAGCCATGAAAGGCTGCTCTCATTCTACTGATAATGGCCATCCAAACAAGTCAGGGAAACTGTTTGGGTAGGGGGCCAGCCCTGCTAGCCCCCTCAGATGCAAGGACCTTGTCAGTTTACATCCTGTCACCAACAACCTTCCTCCCAGATTCTGCTCCGCTCAACGTCACTTTCGGACAAATGGAACTAGTGTTTTGTTTTGGTTTGTAAATAGTACCAAAGCGTATAAAACATTTTATTGTTATTATCTGTTCCTGTTTAGATGTAGATTAGGGGTGTCGAACTCAGAGAAGGGGCCAAAATCTAAAATCCAGCCTAAATCGCAGGCCAAATGGTTTACTGAACAGTCATAAACTGTCATTGTGATGGAAACGCAGCGGAGTGCAGTGATGACAGCGCGGTGCGGGCCACATTGCAAGGCCTGGTGGGACGGATTTGGCCCGCGGGCCTTGTGTTTGACACATGTGATGTAGATCATTAGATTGTTATAATTAAAGCGTCTGGGCTTGGCAACACACATATTAAAAAGCCTAAAGTTTATCTTCCTATAGAACAAAAATACCAAAAATAAAATATATTTTAAAAAATAAAACTTTTGAGTATTGTCTCAGTGTTCTTAGCATGAAGTTCTGTTTCCTTATCATGGCCCACAAGACTTTTAGAGAAAACTTCCTCTGTCAGGCCCTGTAGGTGAGCAGGGTATATATGACTCCAGCTCTCATGGACTCTCAGCCATTAAATACAAATTACAAAAGCAGACACGTGCAGTAGAGGAGGTGCTAAGAAAGGGAATAATGAGGAGGGGCTGCTTACTCAGACTGAAGGTGAGTTGAGTGACTTTAACAAAGTGACATTGGAGACCTGAAGAATGATAAAGAATTGGATGAGGAGTGGGGCTGGTGGCCTGACAGAAAAGTGAGGATTGGGCACTGGGAGGAATAAAGATATATTTTTTGTGTGTAATTGGAGACAGTAAAGGTGGACTGTGGGAGATGCTTATAAATATTGTTATGGTCTGAATATTGGTGTCTTTCCAAAATTCATAAGTAGATTTCTAGTTTTGGAGGTGATGGTATTAGGAAGTGGGGCCTTGGTGAGGTGATTAAGTCCTAAGGTGGAGCCCTCACAAATGGGATTAGTGCTTATGTAAGAGGCAGAAGAAAGCTCCCTCACCTTCTGCCATGGGAGGACACACTTACAAGGCACATTTGGGAACTACAAACATGCCCTCATGGGACAACAAATCTGCTAGCACCTTGATATTGAACTTACCATCCTCCATAACTGTGAGAAATAAATGTGTTGTTTAGAAACCACCCAGCATATAATGCTGCCCCCTCCCTGCCTCCTTACCACAGAGCCTGAAAGACTAAGACAGAAACCCAAAGGACAGAAGGCTAATGGCTAAGGGGAGTGAGGGATGGGCTTAACACTCTTTAACGAGAATCTCATTCCAGTCACAGGCCCTCAGATGCTCTCTTTGAGTTATTCTTTCCCAATGATGGGCGAAGTTCTACAGAAAACGTTTTTATGTTTCTTGGGTTTAAATAAGACTATCCACTTTTAACCAGGACTGGCATAAAAGAATAAATGGAAGCCCAAAGGGGGAAATCTGATCACCAACAGGTTTCAGGCAGTGATAGTTGTATGGCCTTGGTCAATATATTAGCATTTTCTGAGCCAGCACTATTCAACACATACACCATGGGAGCAATCACAATGAGAGCCACCTCTGTAGTTTACAACTGCTACCAAACACATTAAAAAGATAAAGAAATGTGTGCAATTCAGTTTATGGGTTTATTTGACTTAAAATATCACTTCAATAGGTAATTGATAGAAGTCTTAAAAATCCAGTGATCCTTTTATTTACCTCAATTCAATCTAGCCATATTTCAAGTTTTCTTAAAAAATTTTTTTTAAAATATATTTGTATGGATTACAGACAGGAAGAGATAGAAACATTAATGATGAGAGAAAACCATTGATCCAATGTCTGCTGCATGTCCCATACTGGGGATTGAGCCCACAACCCAGGAATGTGCCTTTGACCAGGAATCTAATCGGAGACTCTTGGGCTTACGAACCATCTTTTCTCTCTTTTTGAAATCTCTTGATTACCCTACCAATCACCCCATAAATCAGCCCTGATTGCCATTCAGCCTGGGGATCCTACCTGTGCTTGAATTTCATGCACCAGGCCTCTAGTACACATCTAACTCAATATTTAAATGCAACTAGCCTGGTTCCTGGCCATTAAGTGTGTGCTGATTAAATGAGGAACAAGGGTAAAGCTCTTCCATAAACAAGCCATGGGAGAAAAGGCTAAAGTTCAGCCAGAGCTAGAGAGGAGTGGGAGCCACACTAAGAATAAAAATGTTGGCACCACTGTGTTTATTAAAATACATTTCATTTTCAAAATTGAGCTACCAGCTGTTAAAGTATATATACATATACAGATTTGGGGGAATCTTTGATGCTGGGGAAAAGAGGAAATTTCATGTCGCCCTGGCCCCAGAGCCTCTCTCAGCCTCTCAGACAGGGACATTGGGACTTTGGGGCTGTTATGCCCAGTTTTCCACATAGTCTCTGCTTCCTGGGTTGTCTCATCTGCAACTTTTCCCTGTCAGGATTTCCTATTCATGTATCAGCTGTGTGGCCCAATTGAGATTTCTTCTTTCCATTCTCTAGTTTTTCGTTGTTTATTCAGGTTTATTCATCTGATTCTCTTTGAATTTGTTATCTAAATATATATCTGCTGAGCATGAATTATTTTTACTTCTTTTCCTTCTAGTTCCCCGGCCAATTTTGAAAGCTGCCTCTCTAAACAGTCAATTTATAAGTGGGTGATTCGGAACATCTTTAAGCACAGCTCAATCTCATTATTTTTATAACCCCCCTCCTTCCTTTTCGCTCTCCTCCCAAGAAACACCAACTCTATAAAAATCATGCGCTGTGGAGACATAACGAAGCAAATCCTGGGAAATGTGGTTGGTAGAACTATCCCTGGGAGCAGATGGCAGTTCTGAAGCAAAGGCTGCTGGCACCAGGGATGTGTCTTGAGACAGGCAGTGCCCACCCCTGAGGGAAAAAATGCCTGGAAACAGTGATGTGACAGCAGCACCCTTGGGAGAGACATTTGAAGTCTGGGGACAATGAGGCCATGGGGACCACCTGTAGTAGCACAGCTGCTTTGGTCACACACCATTTACATTGGGTGCTCTAAAAGGACAGATAGCCGAAACCGGTGTGGCTCAGTGGACAGAGCGTCCGCCTGCGGACTGAAAGGTTCCAGGTTCGATTCAGGTCAAGGGCATGTACCTTGGTTGCAGGCACATCCCAAGTCGGGGGTGTGCAGGAGGCAGCTGATTGATAATTCTCTCTCATCGATGTTTCTAACTCTCTATTCCTCTCTTTTCCACTCTGTAAAAAATCAATAAAATATATTTAAAAAATAAAATAAAATGAAAGGACAGATAGCCCTGCCTCTCGAACAGCACCATCTCTCAGAGTATCTATAAACTTAGAGTAGGCTGCAAAGGTGGCCTCATCCTAGCTTAAGTTAGCTCTCAACCCATCTGTTACCATTTATCTGGGTCAGCGATACTTAAGAATTTAACAAGTTAGAAGAAAAATAGTCTAGCTTGATTTGGGTTGCTTTTTCTTTTTCCTTTTAGAGAATCATCTGTAACCCACCTACATTACATGTGTCCACTCCTGGATAAGGGTCTATGGTCATCTATTCAAGTTTAAGAATTCACATTCTTGTGGATATAAAATAGTTGTTTAAAAACCTACTTGTTCATAAATAAAAAAATAATAAAATAAAAATACACCATAAAACTTCTGAAGCAAGCACTGGGGAAACTAGAGATATAATATTTTCCAGAGGAAAACATTTGGATCTAAAATAAGGAGCCAGGAAGAACAAACCAGTGAAGGGAAGAGGAAAATCTCTCAGAGAGAGCCACCCACACAGTGAACAGTGAACAGGCCTTGGCTGTGGGTCTAGGGCTGATAACTAGCAATTCATGCATGTCTGTTTGAGAACACAGGGTTCTCTCACAACAGTGAGGTTAATCAGCCTCTCGACTTGATCTGAGTTGGAAGGAGGCTTGTTGAACTGGGTGTAAAACTACCCAAACTATGTACATGTATTAACTAACAAGAAAAAAAATTACTTCCCAAAAGAAGGAGAATTTAAAATCCTGGCTTTGGCTTTTTTGTTTTGTTTGTTTGTTTATCTGTTTGTTTAGTAATAGTGGGAAGAGATGGGGGAGGGGAAGAGAAAAGGGAACAGAGGGAGAAAAAAGGGAGAAAGAAACAGCTCTGGCATTACATCCCAGATCTATGATTGAGCAAAGTTCCTAACCTTCCCTGAATCCCAGTTTCTTCATCTTTAAAGAAAATAAAATAAGGCCTATGAGGATCAAGCGTGAGATGATATTTGTAAAACATCTGGCATATGGACTAAGGGCAATGGAGGAATAATGATGATCATGATGACTAATGACAGCAACAACATTGATGGAAGGAAAGAGGGCAAGAAAGAAGGTGAAGGAGGAAGAAGGAGAAAAATAAATCAACCAAATCTAACTCTTTAGAAAGAGGGGGAATAACAATCTCTATAAAAGCAAGTCAAAGTCATCTACAGAGAAAGGGCAACATAGAAGGACAGGTTTCTTTG